TGGTGTATGCGGTGTTAAATTTTACATTCAGCTCTGCCAATTGCACCGAACGGCTGGCAGCTAGGGGTGTGCAATATTGACAAAAAATTATATCTCTATATTTTCTAGGATTTTATCGATAACAATAATTTGACTGAGTGTTACTGTGCTGATATCTTAAGGACTGCAGTGGACAGCTGACTCCTAAAAATGTTTATATTCTTCATATTCTGTCTGGTGGTCAGTTCACAGCAGTGACAGAAATGAATCTTTTCCAATAAGTTTAAATAGATTTTGACCTTTTATGGTCATTTTTACCTTAAAGCCATTTTTTTCTAAAAGTGTGCATTATCATTCGAGTCAAATTCTTATATTTAATCAGTCAATTATAATAAGACATTTGGGCTGTTATCAAGCGTATATATATATTAAATATATATATATTAAGAATACTTAGGACCATGTGATATTTCAGTTTTTCTTTTTTAATAAATCTGCAAAAATGTCAACAATTCTGTGTTTTTCTGTCAATATGGGGTGCTGTGTGTACATTTATGAGGAAAAAAAATTAACTTAAATGATTTTAGCAAATGGCTGCAATATAACAAAGAGTGAAAAATTTAAGAGGGTCTGAATACTTTCCGTACCCACTGTATATATATATATATTATAATTTAACTTGTCCAGTGACTTTCCAGGGACATGTCTAAACTCTTAAATGTCTAAAGCTTCTAGCTTTTAATGTTATTGTGCATTAAAATGCATAACTGTTTGAGTGGAATAGGACAGATACCTTGTGTAAAATGTAACTGTAAAAGAAGCTCCGAGTTGCTCTCTGTCATGAAAATATTATTGGATTAATTTCACTAATTCAAAACTAAATCAGATTCATCCAGTCTATGGAATATTTAACCAGTAGGTGGGTCAAAACGTGAATAATCAGACGTCATGTTAAATGGGTAGTCGCAATATAACACAAGTCATGTCTGTGATTTGCTTCAGGAGGCCAAACTGACAAGCATCCTTGAACAGATTTGGAATAGCTCTCTGATGAAGCACTGAGTCTACTCAAGATTGAGCTATCGACAAAATGCTTAACTGGGGAGCGACAAACACGGACAATGAAACAATCCAATACTGCTTTCCGAACAACGATTTGTCTTGTACCAAAAATGTGAAACCTGGAGCTGAGTACATTATGATGTACATATTAATTTCTACAGTATCAGTGTTTACTGTGTTTCTGAACCTGCTGGTGATCATCTCCATCGCTCACTTCAAACAGCTCCAGACTCCAACCAATGTGCTGATCTTCTCTCTGGCAGTAGCTGATCTGATTGTGGGACTGATTGTTACGCCAGTACAGGGCATCAAATTAATTGAGCCATGTTGGTTCTTTGGGGAAATATTTTGCTCAATATTTTATTTTCTATGTGGTTATTACAGCATCTCTTGGTAATTTGATTGTTATATCTGTGGATCGTTACATTGCTGTGACTGACCCTTTGCGATATCCAGCAAGGGTCAATACTAACAGAGCAGTTTTTTCTATTGTTGTAAACTGGGTATTTTCCTGCATATATTATTTTTTTCTTTTGTACGAGTCTATAATCTATCCAGAGAAAAATCATACATGTATTGGAGAATGTATACTTTTTATTAAGTTGGGATATATCATAACAGATGTCATTGTTACTTTAGTAACTCTGTGTTGTTTAATAATTTCTTTATATATGAAAATCTGCTTTGTTGCAAAACATCAAGCTGAGCATATAAATTCACTCTCAGACAAAAAAGCCAAATCAGAAAAAAAGGTTAAAACAACCTTAGGGGTTGTTGTAATGGTTTATCTTCTTTGTTGGATACCATACTACTGTAACGAATCAGTCCACTGAAGGCGAGTTGAAGTGAGAACCCAAGTGCAGTTTATTTACAAGTGATCCAAACATCCAAACGATAATCCGAGACTTGACTTGACTTGACATGAACAGACTTGACTTGGCATGGACAGGACTCACCAACAGCAGAGTTACAACATCAATACACGACGAAGACTATGGGAACATGAGACTACTTATAGCAAACAAGAGGGTCACATGACAAGAACAAACCAATGGGAAACAAGACCAGAACTAGGACAACCAATCAGAACATGACACATACACAAGGCAGAGATACACGAGGGCAAGGGAAGCATGACACTGACAGCAAGAAACAATTACAAAATAAAAGACATGGAAACATGTCAAAACCCAAACACCACATTACAACTACATAGCTGCTCTTACGCTTGGGCAAGTCACAGGTGACTCTCTTGTAATTAATATAATGTACTGAATTTTATGCATGAATTCATGCTTGAATCCACTTATTTATGCTATGTTTTATAGATGGTTTCGAATATCGGTAAAATACATTTTGATTCTGAAAATATTTGAACCTTCATCAGAATATTTCAATTTGTTCATGCAAGAGAAATTATTTTATGCTAACCTTTTGCTATTGCATGACTGTAGAGCCTATAAAGCACACATAAGAAGGAAATAGTTCACCCAAGAATTAAAATTCATTATTTATTCAGACAGCCATTTTCATGCTTTTCCAACACTGTATGACTTTCTTTCTTCTGTGGAATACAAAACATATTTTGAGAAATATCTCAGCATTCTTAAAGGGATCTTATGATGTTGCGCCGCGTAAACATAAAACCATGTCTGCATTTGTGATTGGAGAAATGACAAACAACAAGCCATACTCTACACTGCCCAAAAAACTCGTTTTAATTATAAAAAATATAAAAACTCTTTAAATAAAACGTACTTACAGTCCGTGAGTCAGATCAGCCTGCATTGTAGTCTACTCTACCAGGATCAGTAAACAGTCCTCCATAAAATGTGCTGCACACATCTGAATATTTGGATTGAAGTGTTCTGGAACAGTGTTGTAAATACAACTTAACCACTGATTTCTAGTCGTGTCCATTTTTGGAAGGCCAAACAAAGTAGTTTTGCTTTCACAACGAAACACACAGCGCCTTCACGACATGGCGGCAGCAACAATACTACAGCGAGAATAAAAGTTCTTTCTTTGTGTGAACATTTGGGCGGCGTTATGCAGATCTTCCCAGATAGTGACGTAAGTATGTGGGGGCGTGTTAGAACGAGCCGTTTTAGGTAGGTGTGGCTGACTCTTAACTTTTATAAAGAATATCTCTTTGGATTTGAGACTTTAGTCTTTGCAACTTTACAGATCTTCTTTATGCACCAAGAGCTTGTAACACTCCAAAGAGAAGGGAAAAATTTAAATCGCATCATATGACCTCTTTAAAATATATTTTGTTCCACAAAAGAAATGCATAAAAGTTTGAAATTACATACGGTTGAGTAAATGATGCCAGAGTTTTTATTTTTGGCAAATTATAGCCTTAAGATCTCCTGTTTCCAAACAAAAGAGTTTGGGTTCTATTGTGATCTTCCTTGTGAAAAATAATTGTTGTGTAGCACATATGGTTTTGAAATGTTTAGGTATGGTGTCTAATGATTAGAACACAGTGACAGATCTGAGGCTTTCAAATTATTATCATCTAAAGAAACTTCTAAGAATGTATTAACTCAAAGTGGAAAACTGGTGCAAGCACAAATCATGTTTAGACATGTAAGGTCTCTGTCTTGTGAAACAGGCCCCCATAAGCGGTGGATTCACCGCGTGACTTATGAAACAGAAATATTACAGAAGGATCTAAAGATCTCCCCCTTATCAGACATCATGAGGTTTGCTAATCACCCCCAGCACATGACTCCAATATTCTGGGTCGACTTCCTGCCAGTCTTGTCATCATCTACTCAGAGGAGTGATTAAAGATTGATCCATTCAAGAGACAACAAAGCTTTCTTTGTATCAAGGACTGAAAAGATTCATTCACAACATATAGAAACCACGATGTCTTGTGGCCAACAAATGAGTGCAATCATTATATCCAGCAGGAAAAGGATGAGTAATTTAATTACACCCTCGGGCTTGCAGAACAACAGACCTAAAGGAACAGTGATAATGTGATTCAATCTATACAGACTTTTGACCATTTGACTTCTTAACGTTGAGCCCCGAGGATTTTTTTCCACTGGCTTATAGTGGGACCGGATCATTATGACAACAAGGTAATGATGGATGAAATGACTAAAGATTAGTTCGAGTGATATGTGATCATATTGGACACTTATTAAAGTTTTCATGTTTCCTCTATTCCTAGTAGTGCCTCTAGATATATTATTAAAATAGCCCAGCCTAGTTTGACTAACAAGAATTACTGAGCAGATGTTTTTTTAAATAGGTGATGCTGTAATTATTGAATCTAGATCTAGTTGGCCAATTTACTTTACTTTCATTTAAACTGACCTAAAGTACACAGGTCATGGGAACTGATGAGGTCATTGTTATAAGTCATATTGTTATTGGCTGATTGACATAATCACATCATATTCAATGTGATTTACTCTTTAGTTGATTGTAGTTAATTAAAAATGTTTTTTTACTTGTAATATGCCGGAATCTATGTTAATGCTAATGGGGTCAGAAAAAAAATCATTTAAGATTATATTGTTATAGTGATATTTTGACACTACCTCCATAAGCAGCTTACTAGGTTTTGGAACAATGCTATTGTTTTAATAAAGAATGTTAGTAATATTATTTTTGGAAATTCTCTTTAATATTATATTTGTCTATAAATGGTATAAATATTTTTGTATACTTCACATGATTCTTTTTGAAAAGAAAAAAAAAATTCTGTTGTCAAAGTTTCTCATTTAGGCTATTTGTGGCGGCCCGCCAAAATATCAATATTGACCACCACAAATAGATTTTCCTTTACCTGTTAAATTTCTATTTTACTATTTAAAATAGGTAAAATCTTACTTCAGTGTAAAGCTGAAGTTGACGCGTTGACTCAGCATGTCTCTCTCACACGACAGCGAACAAATTAAAACATGGGGGTGTTTCTCAATATACGTTCCTCTGTGTACTTGAATTCTCATGGAAACATTATCAGTCACAGATGTTACTGACTCACTGACCGAGTTTACCAGGACTTCACAAATGGTTAGTTACATGAACACAATCACCTGTTGTGTTGTCAAAAATATAGATTTTTCAAAACATATCAATACTGAAATATCTAAAACGGTTGTAGTACTCTTTTCGCAGTATCTATACACCAATACTACCAGCTGTGCTTTCTCTCTCTCTTCTCTCTTACAGCGAGTTCATGCACACTGCAGTGTAATAAACATGTTGTCCAACAAAATACACATTTAATAACATATTTTTACTTCAGACTCACTTAACGTCAGTTGAGTGTTTGAAATAATTTCCTTTTGTGATCTGATGTGGCTTCTTATCATAAAATCATTATTTTATAGTATTCTACTGTAATAAAGGCTATGTCAATTACCATTACATTATAAATAGACTTTATTCTTATATTGCCACGGTTGTGTGTTTATTGTCTTCATGTTCGGTCAGTTATAGCATTTCTATCTTCTTTTTATTGAGCTACAGCGATAGCTGGATGCCTTTGCCCATATTAGGGATTTCCGGGAACGTTCTATTACATCTGTGAGGCATATTTTGACTTCCAGTATGAATGAAACTCACATCACCCTATTTTGGGTAAAAATAGGGAAAATAATTCTTCTCTCTAAAGAAATTTGAAGTAAACGTGCAAATCCATACGTTTTTCTCTAGTGTTTTACCACCTCAAGAGGTTTCATTAATGTTAAAATATACCTCATAGTCATGTTCTAGCCTTGTTATATTTATCTTTCAATAAAAAAAAAAAAAATTATTCTCTTAAAGTTGGGGCAGTTTTTCTTTGTGGTATCAAAAATGGTATTGAATATCGTTATTTTTATCGTATCAAAGTTAGAAATTACCCTAGCGGAAGTGCCACCACAAAATAGTGTAAGTCTGTGGGAAATACTGCTTGTAGTGAAATAAATTAATTCAGATGTTTGGAGATTCTTAATGATAAAATATGTTAATAATAGAGACTTTTAATGGTGCTTGTGATTATAAAAAAGTATATATTAATAAAATGTCTAATAATTCAACTTATCAAATATAATAATTACATTTAATCAACCCATAATTCATTAAAAATAGTTGATTTTAAAACCTTCAATGCAAATGCATTTATAAAGTTTTTTTCAATTTTGTATTCTATTTTATATTGTCTTGTCTTGTGGTTGAAATGCATATTTGTGCAAATGTGACATTCAATTTAGGCACAACAATTAAAGTTGTACTGTTTCCCCATTTTTATTTTTATTTGTATTACAGCATAATCAGGTTTATTATTAGATCTAGAGATGCTTAGGAAGCTATAACTGAAGTCTCTGGACACACAAGTTTCTTGTCTAAAATATTTTTATGAAAAATGAAATGGAAAATATGTAGTTGTCAAATCGTGTTGCATTAACTCCAAATTACATACACTAGACATAACCTTTAAATCTCTTGTCAGAATAATAATGTGAAATGCATATACAGTGCTATTTCAAACATAATTTGTTAATTTGCTAATAAAAAGTTGCCTCTCATCTGCAGTACGGCCATTCACAGGAATCATTAATGGTAATCTTTAAAAATGTCCACATGAGAGGATGCTGGCTTACATAATCTAAGAGTTATGATATATTTAACTGCCTTTTTAAACCAGGGGTAAAATAAAGCATAGACAATGGGATTCAGACCTGAGTTAACATACAAGGTCCATGTTAGAAATTTTGACATGACTGCAGTGTTGACTGTGCTTCCTGATAAAGAAAGAATGTAAAATGGAATCCAGCAAAGCAGGTGAACTGTCACAATTATTCCTAATGTTAGAGCAGCCTTGCTCTCAGATTTCTTTTTTAAAGTGTCCTCCATTGTACTTTTTCCAGTGTTTAAAAGTAAATTTATCATTTTCACTTGCCGTTGTGCAACATAGAATATTCTTAAATATAATGTTATGATTACGATACAAGGAGACACAAAGGACAAGATCAGGTCACTGGCTTTCCAGGCAAAACTCATCATATAAGGGCACTCTCCATAGCACACACCTGCTCTGTGAAAAGTGTCAAAATATCCGTTGTTAATTACAATGGCAGTGTTGTAAGCTATGGAGCAAAACCAGCAGAGAATGATGCTCATTAAAGTTTTAGTTGTGGTTATTTTCTGTGGGTATTGTAAAGGACAACACACAGCCACATAACGATCAACAGCAATTAAAACTAAATTACAGAGAGATGCTGATAGGAGCAACCCAAGGGTCTTAATAAACACTCCACAAAATTTGTCTCCAAAGTACCAGCATGTCTCAGTTAGCTTGATGGCCTCTATGGGTATCACAATAAGTCCAATAAACATGTCGGCCACAGCCAGAGAGAGAATGAGCAGGTTGGTTGGAGTGTGAAGCTTCTTGAAGTGAGAGATGGAGATGATCACCAGCAGGTTCAGAAACACAGTCCATGCTGACAGCAATGAAAAAAACACATATAAAACATTGTGTTCATGCCTGGAGCGTTTTCCCTTTATACACGATGAGTTGATGGAAGGAAAGCAGTATTGAGTCTCATGATCCTCTGTCTCATATGCCATGTGTGAGTCTCCTCCTGTTAGGAGTTTGTTCTGCTCTCCTTACTGTCCTTTCATTTATAGTGACTGGATCAGACAGACCAACCCATCTACCGCAAATTCTGAAATGATGTAATGGCATGCTTTTCCCCATCAAAAAATAAATAAATAAATAAAAAATGCTACTTGTTGAATCTGCTCAGACTATTCACTTACATTGAATTAATGCATATAGAAATAGCATACATAGAGCCCAATGATTTTCGTGGTGCAGAAAATTCAGACTGAATTGCAGAATCCAGTTTATAGTATAACACGGACCACATAGCGAACCAATATTTTAAGCTGAAGAAAAATCCAGCAAAACAGACAATACAGCTGTAGCAAATGACGCACACACAGCAGTAAAGCAAATAACTGGCAGAGAACAGAACAAAACGTGTTTTTTGACCTTGCATGCATGTAAACCTGTTGTTGGGGACTCCCAAAACCAAATTATGACCCTTTCAAATAGGGGCACTTTAAGATTATTGTTGTTATATTGTGGGGAACTGTGATCCACAGTGATTAAATGCTCTTGGTTTGACATTTATATACTACCTAGTTACCAGAAATGTTTTATTTTATTTATATTTTTTTCAGTGTTGGTCAAGAAATAATTTTGAACACAAAAGGTCTGTCATCATTAACTTCCCCTCATGTTGTTCCAAACCTAACTTTTCCACTCTGATGAATCATAGCAGTTCAGTAAATAATTATTAATTTACTATAACCGATGTATCAGCTGATAGGTTAATCAAACTCATATCTGTGGTTTAACTTAATATTGTTTAACCTTTGTGCTACAAAAATATCACTCAAAGCAGATTTGAATATGATACAGTGCACTGTAAACCTGAACCTATGAGTGTGCATTTCTTTTTGCTCACATTTTCATCACACTCATCTGCTCATCTACAGATTGACATGATTTACCCATATTTTTCTGCTATGATTTCTCATATAACATCGTAGAAGTATGCTGAATAAACTGACATTACTTCTACTCTTATGATTTATTTTTTGATCTATAGTAGGGGTCTCCAACCCTGCTTCTGGAGAGCTACAGTCCTGCAGATTCAGCTCCAATCCCAGACAAACACCCTGAACCAGCGAATCAAGGTGTTCAGGGTTACTTGATAATTACAGAGTGTGTTGGAGCAGGCTTGCGACTGAAGTCTGCAGGACGGTAGCTTTCCAGGAGC